CCTTCTTATGAGAAGGCAGCATCTTTGTTATATTGGTTGTTTGAAGAAAACACCTTCCTGCCGTCACACTTCTGTACAGTCATCAGTACGACTTTACTCTCAGACCTTGGATTTGCTACTTTTAGTCTTATCGCTATTCAACCAACCTGAGGAACGATTGTTCCAGCCAATATAGTTCATCACAACCGCCACATCAAGGTAGCAACAAAGGTCGGACAACTTGAACCAATGCATATATATGCTCCAATATTCTCCAGTTTTTTTTTTCATAACTAATAAGAACTATAAATTTATGATTTATTCATTGAATGATACTACTTATTATTCTTTGATTTACTGATTTTTAATAGAAATTTTATTTCACTGGTTGAAATCATGAATCCATTGAAGCTAGACCACCATGGAAAACCTGGAAGCACTGGACGGCCGTTTCGTCCTAGTATGGGACTCCTCAGCAGTGCGCATCCACGAAATTTTATTCATTATAATCGTTAAACTTTTATTCATGAATTAATATAAAATAAACAATGAAATGACAGTTTTCAATTAAATTTATAAACAGATTAGATCAAAGAATGAACTATAGTTAATGAAATGTTTCAATCTGTTCAAAAAACAATGACCTTTCAGTGATGTTAAAGTGACCTTCAGAGAGTTCATCTAAGAATTAGGATCAAATGAAAGTTATAAACCAATGTAAGGGGCTTACAAATTATGATTTACAGTTGGTGATTAAGGGTTAGGAATTAGATTTTAGGTTTTACAACATGAACTGATATCAACTATAATGCTAAAACTCAATTTCACGCCAAAATCTTAGACCTGTTAATTTAAATTTGATTGGTTCATACATAAATTAGAATCTCATCGGTTTTATTTGTTCCTTATAATTTAAAGATATAATGTACATTACAAGATTGGAACAATAAAAATTTTATTCTATGTAGAGGCTTCGTAGTACGGGAGATATGTTAAACTATGATGAACCAGTAGTTTGATACGCTGTAGTAAACAAACGTTTCACAATTGTTTCTCTTTATGGAAAATGTTTAACATTTCATGAATATGTAGCGTGGTGTCAAGTCGTTATTGACTATGAATACCACTACAAGAAGAGTGCGTACCAGAAAATCAGAAGGTGAAAGAATGTTGTTGACGATCTCATGGTATCGAAAGTATACCAAGATCGTGCTAAAGAAAATACAAGTGGAATCACTAGGCGAACGTACGTGCGTACAAGGTCACAGTCAACGGAAGAATAATGGATGTCTTTAGTACAGTTAAATAAACAAGCACAGTAAAATAATCACTAGTACAATTAGTTATAATAGTAATTGCTTCATGAGTCAATTGAAGCTAGACCACCATGAAAAACCTGGAAGAACTGGAAGACTGTTTCGTCCTGGTATGGGACTCCTAAACAGTGAGTATCTACGATCTCGCCCAGCGAGATAATATCCACAAAAACTCCATCTGATATTTATCAGTATACACTCACTAGTGACTGGCTCCAAAAGGTATTTCCTGTAGTTCTAGTGAAAAGCAGTGACCAGTGGAGTTTAACCTGGTCCGTTGTGAGATAGTAACAGACTGATGACAATGGTGTATGCCCCGCTCAATTTTGTGATTTAATTGATGTTAAACAATAACACCGTTAGATGCCGGCCTAATGGTTAAGAGTTTAAACATTCACTCGAAAGACCGATATATCCTGAGTTCGAATCCCTCGAGGCGGGATCGTGATTGCTCATTACTGAGTAGTCCTATACTAGAACGAAACAACCGCCCAGTTCTTCCAGGTTTTCCATGGTGGTCCAGCTTCCATTGACTCATGATTTCAACTATTGAAATTATTATAATCTCTACAAAAAATACCCTTCTGAAATTAATATACTGTTTATAGTGTTATAGTGAACAAGAACACCAATGGGGACAATCGTATGTAATTGGGCACATAATTACAGAGCATCTTAATAAAATCTATGATCCATATATTAAGTCGTTAATTTGCAAAATATCAATCCATCATATCAAACTTCACTGTTCCTGTTGTAAACATCAATCCATTGTCTCAGATTTCATTGTTCATACATTTTCATTCAAATTCCATTGTGTTCCTTCCCTTTCTTTCTTGATCTTCCCTCATTCTTCTGCTGTCAGATATTACGTTCCTAACTCGCGTCATATACTACTTATTATATCAATATAAGTAGCACACATCACAATATCATTCAATATTAAATGATATATCATCTGTTTGCAAATCATTATAAGACTTGAATTATATTAACTAATCTGTTCTTTCTTTTTATTGTTCTATTCCTTTTTAACTCCATTTAAACTTTATATCCATTTGTGAAATCAGTGAAAATTATTTTGTTTTTGTGTTTTTTTTGATCAAAGAATTTTCACTGAATAATCAATTTTCTATTCATTCATTCATTCATTAATACACATAATCAATTAAATGATTTTTTATTGTTGTTGTTGGCGGTGGTGGTGGCGGTGGCGGTGACGGTGGTGGTGGTGGTGGTATTATTTTGATATGGAATAAATGAAAAAGAGAATGAGATTAAACTAGAAATGATGAAAACATGCCATTTCTTATCATTTATTTCATATAGAATCTAAGATACCCATGTTACCATTATGGATACATACATACATACACGCACACACACATACATACACACACACAAACACACGCACGTATATGTACATACACCCACAGACAAACATATAGACATATCTATACAAATAGGCATAGTTTATTCTTAACTCTTTAGTGAATTCGGTAATTTTCTTTTCTTTTCTTTTTTCTTTTCTTCTTTTTTTTTAAAAAAATTCTTAATTGTTCTCAGTTTTAATTTTATTTTTTAAAAAAAAACAATAAAATGGTTTTATTGTTTACTCATGTTTAGTTAAATTGGTATCTTAGAGGTTTGTTGCACTTTTTTTGCCAAAAAAAAGAAGAAAAAAAAAGAAAAAAACAACATAAAACAAACTTTTGTAGAAAAATACATGAAAATTTACCACTTGAAAAAGAGAGAAGAGTTGTCACTAATTGGTTGATGTTAAACACTAACACGGATGGATGCCGGTTCAATAGTCTAGTAGGTTAAGAGTTTGCATGCGAAACTGAAAGCCCTGGGTTCAAATTTCACGAGTAAGATCGTGGATGCGCACTGCTGAAGAGTCTCACAATAGAGCGAAACAGATGTCCAGTGCTTTCAGGTTTTCAACGGTGGTCTAACATATATCGGTTCATGATCTTAGTCAAAAATTTAATAATCTCTACAACCTCAATACTGATACTTTGTGAGTTGTTTGTTGTTGTTAAGTGTATTGTATTACATGAACTAGACGGTTTCATTGTATCAAATAGTAATGGAATTATTATTTAATGATGAAGATGTAAAATGTAAATAACTTCAATGTTTTGTTATTGATGATCTGATATTAAGAGAAAGTTTAATAAATTCACTTGTTATGGTTTGCTTGAATCATCGGTGTCTTAATGGCATATGTGCGTACTGTGAGGATTGTCTCGATATTACCTTAGTTCACAAGCATTCTAAGCAAAGATGGATAGTGACTAGGAATGGAGTTCAGAACGAGCGTTTCGTCAGCCTGCGGTCTGGGGCACAAATTTTTTAACTTCCATTCAACTATATTATTGTCTAACACTAACTTCAAATCCTTTTTGTGGGGTCGTAGGTACACACTGCTGAAAAGTCTCATACTAGGATGAAACAGCCATCCAATGCTTCCAGGCTTTCGATGATGATGTAACATTGATCAATTTAAGATCTCGATCTAAAATAATTTGAAAATAATACATGTATTAATTATTTGTATTTCTTACAACATGATCATTTTAATATTGTAAAATATGTATGTTATTTATACTATTATCGTTATCAGAAGGGGTTTTGTGGAGATTTTAGTAATTTCAATAGTTGAAATCATGAGTCAATTGAAGCTAGACCACCATGGAAGTTGGACACCAGTTGAAGTTAAACATTAACACCGTTGGATGCTGGCCGGCTCAGTAGTCTAATGGTTAAGCGCTTGCACGTGAGACTGATAGGTGCTGTGTTCGAATCTCGCCGGGGGGCGGGATCGTGGATGCACACTGTTGAGGGGTCCCATACTAGAATGAAACGGCCGTCCACTGCTTCTAGTTTTTTCATGGTGGTCTAGCTTCGATTAACTCATGATTTCAACTATTGAAATTACTATTACTTTTGTCGATTTGATTAAATAATTATTGGCAAGTATCCTATTTTGGTTACAATTTCATATTGAATAAGTTTTCTTCATTTTTCACCGTTGTTTGATTACTGGGTGGTGATCAATGTCATGCTTGTCTAGTCCTTTTTAGTGCAGATCGAATGCTATAGATCATGTTGCAATGTGGCCACCAGTCTAGGTGATTCGACACTGTCGGCACTATTGTGAGATTAGATGTTGGTTGAAGGTAGTCGACAGGAAACCCTGCACCCAGGTTTAGTGCTACTTGGCACTCGTCATCAAGGTGTACCTGTATTCTTGAGGAAACTGATTCTCCCCGATGGATTCGATTCCGTATCACCCAGCTTCACAGTCAGAGACGTTACCAATGAGCTATCCGGGCAGCGACCGACCTCCTGTAAGACTGAGATGTAATCACAATTGATTGATCATTGGGTGGTGACCAATGTTATGCTTTTCTAGTCCTTATTAGTGCAGATCGAATGCTATCGACCATGTTGTCATCAATCTAGGTGACAGGGGATCGAACCCGTCAGGAAGTACCAGTTCCCTCAAGATTACAGGTACACCTTGCTGACAAGTGCCAAGTAGCACGAAATCTAGGTCCAGCGTTTCCTGTCGACTACCTTCAACCACCATCTAATTTCTTCATTTTTACTTTATAATATTCATTGTTTAGTATAATATGAATAAATATTTATTATTAGTTAATTTCATAGAGGTTTTACGATAAAACTGACCTTCATTCTGACTAGCAACAAAAACACTCTACTTCTATATAGATAGATGTTACGTAACATATTTTGCATTCATGTTAAAGGTTATACATGACAACTTTTGTTTGTATATATCTATAAATGTATTCATGTCTATGTGTTTAGTAGAATTTACATTCATTCATTCATTCGTTGAATGAATTCAAGAAGTAGTAGGTTATTATTGTCATTGATGATCCATTGTTGTTGTGTATTGTTTTTTTTTTTTCTAGTTACTAAGTAATGTTATGTAATATTGTTTAATGTTGTCAATGCTATTCAATGATGTATTCTAATGGAATTGACCTTAGTTGACATAATCGTTTTGTTTAGGAAAGTTTTATCCTTTTTTTGTATACTAAACATGGTGTAGTTTTACTTCTTTATTAGAATGGAGACATTTTGTAGTGTATTGTAACTGCCACATATTCTTATTCTTTAGAATATTCATTATTTCATTGGTTCATTAAATTGTTTAATAAGTATACAAAATGAACTTCTGAAGATTGTTAAGTATAAAGTGTTTATAGAAATGTTACACCTCGGCACATTATTTGTACTCCTCTCAACATCATCCGAATCATCCGAATCATGATCATGATGATGATCATCATGATCATCGTCATCATCATCCAAATCATCATCATCATCATCATCATCATCATCATCATCCAAATCATCATCATCATCATCATCATCATCATCATCATCATCATCATCATCATCCAAATCATCATCATCATCATCATCATCATCATCATCATCATCATCATCATCATCATCATCATCATCATCATCATCATCATCATCATCATCATCATCATCATCATCATCATCATTGTCATCACCGTCTCCCTCGTTTGGTCCAAACAGTTAAGCAGATGATATGTTTAGACTGACAGACAATTTAAAGCTTATGATGATTAAACTTTCTACTATATTATCATTATACAAGACAATCATCGAGATCCTAACGAATAACAATTATTTTATTTGCGTGACTTTCATAGGTAAGAAATAAAAGTCCAAAATCATAGTAAATCATATAGATAAGAATCTCGCAGGGGGCGAGGTCGTGGATGCGCACTGCTGATGAGTCCCACAATAGGACGAAACGGCCATCGAATGTTTCCAGGTTTTCCATGGTGGTCTAGCTTCAACTGACTCATGATCTGAACTATTGAAATTACTACGATCTCCACAAAATCCCTTCTGATATTAATCATCGTATGCTCACTAGTGACTGACTTCAAGAGGTATATCCTGGAGTTCTAGTGAGAAGTAGTGACCAGTGGAGTTCAACCAGGTCTGTTGTGAGATAGTAACTCACAGAAGACAATGGTGAATGTGTCGCTCAATTTCGTAGATTAGTTGAAGTTAGACACTAACACCGCTGGATGCCGGCTCAGTGATTTATTGATTAAGTGTTCGCGCGCGAAACCAGTAGGACTTGGGTTCGAATCTCGCAGGGGGCGAGGTCGTGGATGTGCACTGCTGAGGAGTCCCACAATAGGACGAAACGGCCGTACAATGCTTCCAGGTTTTCATTGGTGGTCTAACATCAATCGGTTCATGATCTCAATCATTAACATGTTATAGTGTCATTATACATTCAAGATTTGTTAAGATGTTGGTTGGAAATAGTCAACAAGAAATTCTAAACCTAGTTTTCGTTCTATTTGGCACTTGTCAGAAAGGTGTACCTGTAATCTTAAGGGAATTGATGCTCCTTGATGGATTCCACCACGTGTCACAAAACGCGACTACTATTACCTTTAGTTCACAAAATATTGTATTCTTACATTAGTAAATAGAATATATAGAGTAGTCTATCTTTATGAGATAAAATGGTTCATTATTATATTCGAAACAAATTTGACAACGTATATACATATATATATACTAATGAACCTTAAAGTACTTCAATTTGATTGGTCAGAATTATTTATGTGTAGGTAACTATAACATTACCTTCATTCCTATTGGTTAATATCAAATCATAATTTTAGTGTTACCATGGTAAATTATCTGACGGATAGATGATGGCGGTTAAGTTTATTGTTTGTTTTTCTTTTTTTTTTAAAAAAAAAATAGTTCAACAATGTCAACATTTTGAATATTAAAAAGTTATTGATTTTTCATTTATTATATACAAAGATATTTAAATGTGATATCACTAACCAATTCAATATAGTGTAGATAGTTTAGTGTATAATAAATAATAACATTAAGGGAATTGTTTCAAATAGGTTTAAGGTTTTAAATGAAGATCTGTGTGGATACGGAGGGTTGACCTAGGGGAGTTGAAAAACCCTCATTCCAAATCAATGAAACACATGGGCTCCACCGAGTAAGTAACTCAGTTGTTAGGAAACGGGTACTAGGTAAGGATGGAAAATCAATTGAGGAAGTATTGAAACTCAATCATTTGAGATGGCTGGGACATGTGTTGCGCATGCCCGACCACCGACTGCCCCGACGTGCTATGTTTTATGATGTAGGAGTAGGTTGGAAGAAAGCTAGGGGCGGCCAGACCAAAACATGGCACAAATCCATGAAGTCACTCACAAGTTGACTGAGTCATGTTGGTAGGTGTAGACTACCTGGGTGGGGACCGCGAGATGATAGCAACCGATGGTTAGAGAACTTGAATGATATGGCTCAAAATCGTTTACAATGGCGCAGGTGTGTATCCACTCTTTGTGTTCTCTCAAATTCTAATCTTCTGAATTCTTTAGGTCGCTTTATTTTCTCTCTTTCTAAATTTATTTCACTGGATTATACTCCTTGACTAACATCTTCAAACCCTAATGTTTCCGATTATTGCTTTTACTCTTACTTTCTCTACCACTATGGTATTTGAATCGACCATTGTATCTTTGTGCTAATGTGGTATAGTAACTCGAACCGATTTATGTACATACGAAGTTCTACGTTGTTGACTGACTGACATCATTCCTATTGTAATAGTTAAAGTATGTTTTTGATTGATTATTCACTTGAAATTGTTAAAACGTACTTACTATTTGTTTGAACTAATAAAGAAAAAAATGGAACATTGTATAATTTGTAAATTTACAAACACATATGTGCATCTACACAGATCTTCATTATTTTTCATTTATTTAAACACACAAAAATTAGTACAAGGTGGCACTAAATAGATATGCGCTACATAAATCATTCGATTGATATGGGAGCTGGGATACTGCCCGGATGCCTAAATCAAACCAGGTCGTTTTCTTAGGAGGCCAAACCTAAAGCCTTCAATCTAAAGGTTTAATCCACAAGTCAATGGAGCAACGTCTAGAGATGTAGTCCCATGGTAGCCAGTGACCAACAATCGATTCATACGTCATTTGTTTCTATCAGAATCCTGGAGCCCATAGTCAGTCAGTCAGTCAGTCAGTAACAACGTGGAACTTCGTACGTACGTACATCAGTTCGAGTTGCCATACCACATTAGCACAGAGATTCAGTTATCGATTCAAATCCCATAGTGGTAGAGGTACTGAAAGTATAAGTAAAGATAGGGGACATTAAGGTTTGATGATGTTATTAAAGGAGTATGGTCCAGTGGAATAAATTGGGAAAGAAAATAAAGGACATGAAGAATTCAGAAGATTAGAGTTTGAGAGAACACAAAGAGTGGATACACACCTGCGCCATTGTAAACGATTTTGAGCCATATCATTCAAGTTCTCTAACCATCGGTTGCTATCATCTCGTGGATCCCAACCAGATAGTCTACACCCTACCAACATGACTCATTCCACTTGTGAGTGACTTCATGGATTTGTGCCATGTTTTGATCTGGCCACCCCTAGCTTTCTTCCAACCTACTCCTACACCATAAAACATCACACGTCGGGGCATTCGGTGGTTGGGCATAAGTAACACATGTCCCAGCCATCTCAACTGATGAAGTTTCACTACTTCATCAATTGATTTGCCACCCTTACCTAGTACTCGTTTCCTAACAACTGAGTTGCTTACTCGGTGGTCCCAGTATATACGAGCAATGCTTCAAAGACACCTATGATCGAATACTAGTAACCTAAGAATATCCTCTACTCTTACCGGCCATCTTTCACTAATAAGTACTATATGATTTCCATCTTCCAACTGAACTAATCTATAAAAATTCATATCATTAAGAGAAGGGATTTTGTGGAGATTTTAGTAATTTTAATCGGATTGGTTGAAGTTAGATATTAACACCGTTGGATGCCGGGTAGCTCAATGGTCAAGAAGTTAAACATTCGACTGCGAAACCTATAGGTCTTATGTTCGAATATCACAAGGTGAGATCGTGAATGTTCACAGATGAGGAGTCCGATACTATGACGAAATAGCCGTCCAGTTCTCTCAGGTTTTCTATGGTGATCTAACTCTCATTGACTCATGATTTCAATTATTAAATTAAAATTTATTCAGTTGTAATTTTATGGATCTACTCTTTAAGAAAATTATTATTCCCTTCAATGTATTTTTATTGATTTCGATATTTTATTAAATCAATCTAGTTGTCATAAGATAAGCGTATACAACATAGTAATGATCAATCAGATTTTGTAATGAAAAAAATATTAATGAGACAGTATAACTGATAATTCATAAACTAGACCAAGATTGTAAACCTGAAAGCGGTGGACGGCCTTTTCGTCTTCAACAGTAAGCATTCATGATCCCCGCACACAGGAATCAAGCCAAAGACCTTCGATCTGGTGCACAAACACTTAATCTCTAGACCACTGAGCTGGCTTCCAACAGTGTTAATGTCCCATACTTGGGTATAACAGATTTTTAGTGCTTTAGATTTCCAATGGTGGCCTAACTTAGATTGACTTGAGAATTCAACATTGAATTTTTAATTACTTTGCTAAATGATGCAAAACATGATTATTATTAAGCCGTGGCCAGTGAAGTTCAATCCATGTCGGGTTTGAAACAGTTATCTACTTCAATCAATAAATAAAATGTTGCACAAGATCATGGATCGACAGAAATTAGACACCAAAACCGTTAGATACCAATTCAGTAGTTTGAAGATTAAGTATTTGCGCACAAGACAAAAGATTCTATGTTTGAATCTCACGTGCTGAGAAGTCGCATACTAGTATGAAACGACCGCCGAGTAGTTCCAGATTTTCAATAATGGTCTAGCTTAGATCGACTCATGAATTCAACAGTGAAAATTACTACAATCTCCATAAATCCACCATTCTGATAATTGTCACTCGGTAGATCATTATCAATCAGACAAAAGTATTAAGCTAGTCACATGTATAGGAATGGCAATCGTTTAGGCATACAAACATGTTTCATTAAGATGTTAAATAATACGAGTGAATATCTGTCTATCATCATGTTTCTTGTCATGAAACCAAGACAACTATTTTTAATATCAACTAATTGTAATTTATTCATCCCATCGTATTATTATCATTATTGTTTTTCGCTTGTTTGGTAAGTGAATATTACGTAATATGTTGCATACCTATTAGATAAATGGGAACATAGTGAAACATACTAAATATAACATACTAAATAAAGATAAGCAACTATGTAGATCACCTCAGGTGATGAATGCTAACAACAAATACTAATTTTTACCAAATAGATTGCAATCAAATACTTAGTTTCGACATCTAATCATCTATCTATCTATCTACTATCCACACATCTATCTATCTATCTATCTATCTATCTATCCATCTATCTATCTATCTAACTATCCACACATCTATCTATCTATTGATCTATCTATCTATCTATCTATCCATCTATCTATCTATCTAACTATCCACACATCTATCTATCTATCTATCTATCTATCTATCTATCCATCTATC